TCCTTGGAAGTTGTGTTGGCAAATAGAGATGTTTAAGCAGACCCAGAGGCAGAATGTTACAGTCTTTCTATTCTATTGTTACATTTTATTTATTTCTAATCATGAACTATTTCAAACATTTTAAAAATTAGAGATAATAAAGTAATATACATGGATTCACTAACCACATTTAATAATGGTAATATGTTGCAGTATTTACTTGAGAAATATTTTTTGAAGAGACAATGCTTCCTTTATATACTACCTTCTTTATATAATTGTTTCTTAACCTTAACGTCCTGTTTACTTTAAACTGGTTTTCATCAAACTATCAGTTAAAGGGTCTGAAGATGTGTCTACTTCTCTTTTGAAAGTACATTTGTTAAAAAAAAAAATATCAAGAGGGAATATCTGGCATTTGGAAAAAAATAGTGTTTTAACAATTTAAAACTTTACAGAGGAAAATTATTATATGGCTAATAGTCAAAGTCTGGTTAAGATAAGGAACATTAATTGATTAATATTAAACCTTTTGAGGAACAACCAGAAGATTGGCTCATTAACCATTTTTACAAAGTTCTCCCCCACACTCTTAAAGGTTTAATAACTGTTTTTATCTTTAATACTGTTTAGTGTTATATTAGACAGTAATACAGAGATTTTTTAATTCTTCTTCTAAAATCTAAAATTCTCAGGCCTTTAGAAATACCCAGCTAAGGTTCTGCCACACATTTATAGTAAATTAAAATACACATTTTAAAATTTGTTTTATGTAAACAGACTTTAAAATGTATATGTTGAACAATAAAATTATACGTGGTTACTGCTTTCTGAAAATAGAAACAATGAAATAGATTACTTTGGTTTAAAGAATCATAATGTGTGCACTTCAGAATAGTTTATTTCAAGCTTTCAAACAAGACACAGAAAAACACAATTTGCAATAAAATAGTTAAGATGCTAAATTTTATGTTGTTCTTTCTTTTTTTTTTTATTCTCACCTGAGGACATCTTTTCATTTTTTGTTCAGAGAGTGGGAAGAAGAGAGAGAGAGAGAGATAGATAGAAACATCGACGTGAAAGGGACACATCGAGTGGCTGCCACCCTCACGACCCAACCAGGGCCGGGGACAAACTGCAACCGAGGTATGCACCCTTAGCGGGAACCGAACCCAGGTCTCTCTGGACCGCAGACCAATGCTCTAACCCCTGAGCCAAACCAGCCAGGGCTGTTGTTACTTCTTTTATCACAATACAAAAAAGCATCATTCGAGTCCTGATACTGTTTCCAAAGTATTTCATTAATAATTTAAATTTAAAGTGTACATGTATAATTGCTTACAACAGTGTTACTTATTTGTTTTGTATTGTATATTTTTATGTTTAATTTTTAGGTGTGCACCTAACTTTTCATTCTTTTTTTTTTCTTTATCCTCACCCGAGGACATTTTTCCATTTTTTGTACAGAGTGGGAGGAAGAGAGAGGAAGAGAGATAGAGGGAAATATCGATGTGAAAGGGACACATCGAGTGGCTGCCACCCGCACGACCAACCACGGCTGGGGACAAACTGCAACCGAGGTACATACCCTTAGTGGGAACTGAACCCGGGTCTCTCCGGACCGCAGGTGGACACTCTAACCACTGAGCCAAACCGGCCAGGGCTCATTCTTTGATTTAGTAAATTTTCTTCTTATTAACTCAGTTTATTATCTAAACTGTGCTATAAAGATGTAGTCTCAAAAATAAATTTTACATAATACTGAACAAATATTTTAGTACCGCCAACAAAATTTAAATTCTCTACTTGCTTTTTAAAATTTCAACTTAAAATGATCATGAATTAGATTTAGTTTTGTGCTATGTTCAAGAAAGACATTTTATAATTAGCATATATATTATATAAATTAATAATTTATTTTAATAGAAAACACATTTTAAAAATGGCAATATGTACGAAATGCCAAAAAACACTGATATCCTCTAACCCAGTAATTCTATCTTTAGAAAATATGCCTTTAAAAGTCCAAACTATGGACAGAAGATATATTCAAGATAAATATCCTCAAAACCATATATATATGTTTTTTTTTGTGTTTTTTTTTTTAAAAATCCCCAACCCAAACAAAGCCAGCTTTGGTATATAAAAGCAGAAAGATACTTACAAAAATATTACATAATTAATAAAGTAAGTATTATGAAAACTATTTATATCTTGAGAAAGGTTTGACATGCTAAGTGGAAAAACAAAGGATATTAAATTACTGCCTACTACAATTAAAGCTTTATAAAGTGAGTTACTTAAACAGGGAATGGCCAAGGAGGTATGCTAATAGGTTAACAGTGAGTATACCAGAGTGGCAGAATTCTGGATGGATTTATTACCCTTTCTTTTCCAAATTTCTATCATATGTTATATGATCTTTATAAATGAGACAATCATTTAAAAGTCAAAATTATTATTAAAATTATAAATCAACCTAAACAAGTATAACTAAGCAGGGTACAAAAATATAAATATATCTTTGTGACAGCAAAATGTTAAATATGTTTATCACTATTGAAAATATATTCATATGAAAATGTATAATTATTATTCTGTTCATCTGGAAGCACTGTGTGAAATTTTTCTTTCTTTTTTATTTTTACAAACTCCTAGCATCTTCCCTTTTTATGCTTATAAATTTAAAAGGATTACTTATGAAAATAAAGCCTTGGAGTATAAAATAAATATTAATTCCGTAAGTAATATCTCCTCATGGGTTTCTATTATAAGAATAGAAATGCTTCATGGGGACAATATAATTTTAAGGTCCAATCAAGAAGACCACAATGAAGAAAATGCAAAGCTTTGAAGTCATATGCTTAAATAGAAAACTGAAAGCATTTGTATTCAAAACAGGCAATAAAATATGACTTAAACTGACATAAATGTTGTGGAACTTGAATCTCAACAGACAGTAGATTCTCTGCTACAAGACAGTCATGTAAACGGATTCCATCTTCCTTGGCTCCTTACCTTCCAGCTATTTGAAAAGCAATTCCTTTTAATGCCCCAACCTTTCAGCTTTTACTTCATAAGGAAACCAGCATGTATGCTTTCTCTTAACTGTTTATATTTGTTAAAACTGGGGGAAGTTTTTAGTGCATTGTGTTAAAGTCATTACAGTTGGCTGCCTTTTCTTTCTATATATCAGTCCATTTCATGTTAGATGAGGGATTATAGTAACAAATGTATGTTTGGTGTGTGTTTTTTTAAAAATATTTTTTCTTTATTGATTTGAGAGAGAGAGGGAAAGAGAGACAGAAACATGGATGAGAGAGAACATTGACTGGCTGCCTTCTGCATGCCTCCCTTTGGGGATCAGGCCCACAACCTGGGCATGTGCCCTGGCTGGGAATTGAACTGGTGACCCCTTGATGCATGCATGGGTCAATGCTCAACCAGTAAGCCACACCAGTATGTTTTTATGATTCCCTCACTTCATTCAGAAATTCCCCACTGCATAATGCTGCAGCATCGCTCAGTCAGCATACAGTCTTACAGCCAGGCTAACGGGCAATTGTTTCACAGCTTTCCAGAGAGATATAAAGTATACGTACTTACATACAAAGTATTGAGTAGAACGACTTAGCAGCACACCTAAATTCCTAATAGTCTTTATGTAGCTTGAAACTGAGCAGTAACTTTCAATAAACTGAAAAGATAACAGAAAGGGGCAAAGGCCTTATTTTTCCATTGTCCATCATTGGATGAAGAATCAAGTGGAATGAGCACTGGATGCAGTGATCTGAAGAAGCCCTACAACTGAGAGCATACTTGCAGATACATTTGCCTTCTACTGGGTAGACAAGGCAAGCTTAGCATAAACGTCTTTAGACCTCACTTTTAAGATAGCCATGTCATCTAAACTATTTCAAAAATTTCTTCCGATTGCTAAGAGTACAACATGTTATTTCAGGCAATACTTTTATTTACTATGTATACAAACCAGTATGTGAATTTGGCACAGTGAACCTGTGCGTTATATTCATGGTCGTGAATCGGCTTCAGATACACTTTTATTGCTTCAAGTTGAATTCACAATGATTAATTAAAAAAAAAAATTCTGAGAATTAAAATCTCATTTAGCTGGTGCTAAATCTCCAGGAAGAAGTTGCAGAATTGTTCTTAAAAGGAAATAAAGCTCAATGTAGACATGATTGAAAAAAATTAATTTGGCAAAAAGCAGAAATCACATATTTCTATGAAATCACACATATTTCATAGACTGCACATATACATATACACACATATCATTTTCTAATGTGAGCTTAAAAAAAACCCTTCAAATATCAACAATTCCTCTCCTGTAAGCATCAAATCCAAAGTTTTCTGGCTGCACTGACTTCGGGACTGTTTGCATGGTTGACTTTCAACATCAAGGTCAAAGCTCAAATAGCAACTAACTCTTGGTTCCCTACATGAGTATCAAGAGAAAACTGAAACATGGAATTCATAAAATTCCTAAGTCCCGATGTTACCTCTTAGCTTCTATCTTGCCAGATTTACAAAAAGCAAGTGATCAGTTTACTGCAGTCCTGAGGTGACGAGCAATGGCAGAGGGCAAGGCAAGCAGAGGGCTGTCAGGACTCTGCCTGCCTGATGGAGAAGCTACTCTAACACATGTGACAAACTGGAAATAATGCTTTTACACCATTTTCATACTAGCTTTACCCTGTACACACACCTCTATTTTTTCAAATGGAAAAGACGAATATGCGAGTTTAAAATCAATTATTTATCTGTAGCTTCCCAAAATTTTGAAATGCAATGCAAATGAGAATACACATTGTTCGTATATAAAAATTTCAATTTACTTAGGCACTATCATTACTCTTCTAAAATGAAACAGATATTCTTTTTCTCCACACCTGCAATAATAAAGTGACACATACAATGCACTTCAATAGTGTAATAATATTGCTCAATGATATCCAGAGGACCGCATGCCTGTCCTTTCTTCCTAAAGGTTCGCTCACCTTGCACTTTGGACACTTCTGGGCGTTCCTCTGCCCATGCTCAATTTCGCTGGCCCAGTGACGCAACAGTTTGTCTCCTTTTTTGTACTCCTTGCAGTTAACACCTTCATGCCAAGGAGAGTGGCACTTAAAACACCAGACGAATTGGCAAGTGGGGCACTGGATCTGCGTGAGGAAAAGGAGGATTAAGTACCGGTGGAAATGCTGAAAGTGTCGAAAGGAGAACAATGGTGATGCTTGGGGAAATTAGCCAAAACTTTATAATTTGTCAAGATTTAAAGTATCTCCCCCTCCATAAGACATACACTGCAATAAGATAGGGCTATTATTAAAGGAGGAAAGAATTGCTTGGCATGGATGAGCTGGCTGTTTGCTATACTAGAATGAAACACTTGGGACAATCTGGAAATCAATTTGGTCTTAAGGAAATCTCCTAGGCTGAAATACAGAATGAAGGCTGAAGGCTCACGATGCCCCAAATCCACATACTGAGGTGGCTGCCCTTAAATTCGCCTTGCTCTTTAACCAATTTCCCAGGCATTCCCATTGCTCCTTTTATCAATGGCTTCATTCACTTTTATAAAAATTACTCCCCCCGCCCCGATGCTTCATCAAATGAAGAAACACTGGCAAATAAACTGTTATACCAGCATTTGCTATGAAGCACCACTTGAAATCATGGATAGCCCTCTTTTTTTGCTATTAATCTAAACAAAGTTAATTATAAAAAATAACACAAAGGATTCTATTAGAATATATCAGTCTTGGTTGCTCTGTGGCCTGAGAGCGAGAAAACCATCAGAAAGATGTCTTTGTATTTTCACTGTGTGGCGGTGTGTGTGTGTGTTTACTGAAAATATTTGCCCTCTGAGTAACATGGAAGACCTTTTCTGACTTCCTTTGTTTTGAATGACAGTGAAATATCTCATTCTCACACAGTATTTCTGGTCCTCACTCTCTAAAAACATGGGCATCACTTGACTTTCCTAGGCCTGTTTGATTAAAGTGATCAATAAAACGTCTAACTATGAACACTGATAACTGACTATTTTTCTCTGAGCTCTTGCATATTAATTATCTCACTGTAACACGAGTGAATTTACTGATTACATTTGGAAAATCATTAGAATTTCTTTTGGCAAACTGTACAAAATCACTACTTACTCTTTTGGAAAACTACTTTTTGACAACGGTGGTTCCAATATGTACATCCACCGAGTGGCAATTCTAATCACTAGTCTTCCACTTATAACTCAGAGCACTGCAGTTTTCCCTTCCGTCAAGGAGAGAGAATGTTCTTCACATGCAAATATGCATAACAAACGTACTTCTGCTTTTAATTTATATCAAAACAAAATAATATTTTGTCAGAAATGTTTCAAGTCTTCATGTCTATGTATTTGTAAAATTGTGTTCCGTGGTAATGTTTACATTGTTGCATCACATGGGTGGCTTATTTTATCAACACAATAATGCTGCAAAGTAGGTATGAACATCCCAAGTTTACAGAGGAGGAAACAAAGGCTCACAGAGATTAAATAACTTGCCCAAGGCAATGTAGCAGGTCTATGTTAAAACAATTTGAACAAGACTTGTGTCTGGCTCCAAGGCCAGCGTTCTTCTTACTGTGCCAAAACCCTTGCTCAAACTAAACAGCATTCTTTCTTTGACAATGGAAAACCAAACTGCAGAAGTCAAAGAAGGTCATCTAACTAAACTAGTCAGTAAGGTAGAATTTTAGATGATTACCAACATAGGGTGAACTTTGAAAATATTTTTTAAGATTTTACTCATGCAAATTAAGATAATCCTTGGCTTTTATAAAAAAAAAAGACAGTACTTATCAGTCACTTAAAATAATCATCTTTGCCTTTACTGATCATGAAAGTGAATATAAGTTATTTAAAGTAAGAAGACTGAGTTACAGTGTGTGAGCGCCAGATACTAAAAGAATATAAGACAATCATTCTCCTATGTCATTGAATCGTGAAGAAAGATCTAAATATTACATGGGGTCTAAGTGAATGTAATTTTCAAATGTAATGAATGAAATGAGGAAGATGACCCAAGATTTCACTTTCCCTCATGTATCTGCCATTATGTCAGAAGGGTCGCAATATTTAATTCAGTTCTCTTCTATTTGACATTATTCATAATTCTAAATCACTGGACTCCAGCATCGTCAAATAAAAAACCTCTCTGGGTTTTAATCAGACAGTCTTAGATTATGTTTGTGAAATGAATAGAAGAATCAGTGTATAATGGTGCTTTGAAACTGGGATTAACTTTATGGATGTTAGACATTATAAATGGTTCAAGGATGTTTGGGACCAAGTGCTAAATTGTCCATCTATGGATCTCGAATGAAGACAATTAGAAATGTGTGATCCTCCTAAGTACCAGAATGATATGGAATCTGACAGTTGGTGTCAGTAAGAGGGACTCTGGTGATCAATTTCTCGCAATAAACAGCTAAGTCCTATTGCGAATCCTCCTGCCAAGCCTCACTATCAACACAGACTTGGCGGCAAACTGCAAAAGCTCTCAAGTAAAGATGAATAGTGTCTCTTGCAGAAAACATTAAAATAACTAGTGCTTTGCCTTGGATTAAACAATAAAAGGACGACTAGCCAACAACCCTAACATCCTTGTTATTCAGAGACTGCCCCTGAATGGTCTAAATACTGCCTTCTTGGTCTGAAGATGCCTTATTAATTCTAACCTTAATTATATCCAAAATTGGCCTTAAATTTACACATAGAGACAGCAACACTGCATCTTCCTCCATTAATTTATTCATACTTATTTCTTCACGTGAAATGCCATCTAACAAGCATAGGCTTCTCATAGAGGTCACCACACTCTATCCCTGCTACTCAGTGGGGTCAGAGGGGCAGCACCATCAGTGTCACCTGGGAGCTTGTTGGAAACAAAGAATTCATGTCACACCCGAGACCTGCTGAATTGGAGCTGCAATCCCACAAGGTCCCCAAATGATTCACAGGCATGCTGAAGTTTGAGAAGCACTTGCTTAGACCATGTGACCCCCATCTCCCAGGCCACAACAGATTTACATCAGCAATGAGCCCTGTATCCAGAGGCTGGCAAGCAGCCTCCGAGGTGGCTGGCATGGGCTCTGTGCAGCGGGGTGCTGACTGTGGAACAGAGAGTAGAAAAGTCAGACTTTCTCTCCTGAGGAGTGACATGGTGACACACTCTACCTCTGCTGTGGAGGCAAAGACGGAGGCGAGCTTGGTGACCAGAGTGCAGACCCCAGGAGAAGGGAGCAGCAGACAGTCACTGCTAGTGAGACAGTACAGGGGTCTCCGGCTACCAGAGCCAGTGTCCAGTGCTCCAGCAGGTCTGCTGGCAGCTGCTGAGATTGAAGAGTGAACCTCACTAAGTGGGGTAGCTCGAGAGAGCACATCTCTGCTCCTTGTAACTGGAGAAAGTCCAATGAACACAATCTGTCTACAGAAATCTTATCCAGATCAAATGCCACTTGCTTCAATATGTCCTCCCTGTTCTTCCCAACCAGATTCAGTATCTGTCTGAAAGAGCATGCAGCTGTCTCATCTCCCTGAAGAACCCCAGGCTCACCGAGGGCAGAGGCTGCATCTCATTCATCCTGTATTTCCTGAGTGAAGCAACACAGACCTTCTGGCACATGGAAGGTACTCAGTAAATTATTTATCAAATGAGTTATTTTGCACATAGCAAGTACTATATATTGGCCAACATTAAATGCATTCAAAGAAACACCAACACATCGAACTTACAACCAGTGACTGAGATGATGTCATTAATCCTTACGTTAGCAGATGATGCTTATTAAATATTTTACCCACGGGACATTTTACTGACCATTAATGTGTAAACTCTTCTCCAAGAGGCAGGGCTGCAAGTATTACAAGAATAAAGTTACCAGAGCTAGGAATCTTAATACATGTGTCCCAGAATCCATGAAAGATGAAAGAACTTTACATTTTTAACTTTTGAATTCCCTTAGGTTTTCCAGACATCTGATGCACAAAACACTAAGATGACAAGTTAAACCAACCCACGTTTCCTATGCAAATGGTATTTTCTCCTGACAATTCATCATGCCGATTAAAGAAATAATGCACAAAATAAAACAGTTCAAAGCCAAAGAGCATCCCATATAAGTCTTTCCTTGCCTAAATTCTATGCAGTCTTACATACATAATTATTTTAAATAAATCAAATAATCATTACTTATCAAACTCAAATATTAGGCAACGTCCAAAGGTAAATGCAGCATATACAAAGATAAGCTAACTCAGTTTTCCAAGAAGAATTTGCATTATTCGAACTTCTGGTTAAGACAAATACTCAGTAATAAAACGTATTCATCAATTCATTTGCTCATTCAACAAATATTTATTGAGCACCTTCAAGCAGCAGATACCGAGTGTCATGATTTTAGGCACATGAGAATATTTGTCCTCAAGGAATTTACTGAAGGCAGACAGATACACACTCAAGAGGTATGTAACCACATAATCACTGCCAGAGTGGATGCTGAGACAAGTAAGTACCATGGGAAAGATTCTCCAGGGAATGATGGAGGGTAAATATGCCTGGAAATATGAGTAGAATGTCACTGGGATAAGTATTGGGGCAACACTTCAGGAAAAAGTCCCGGCCGGAGCCACCAAGGGGCCTGAGAACACATGTGCATGCTGTGTTGGGGAAACAGCAAGTGTGCTAGTGTGGCCCGAAGAGAGATGCCACTTCAGTTGGCTTGACCCTGGGCCTTGCTGAAGTGTCCAAAAACCGGGTCCAATTATTTTTACGTTAATGCACCTAGGCTCTTGATGGGTCCCATAAAATACACTGTGGTCTGAAAGACTCCTTATATAAAACACGTAAAACTTCTGGCTGTCAGACTAGGGTCTGCCTAAAGAAACTGATCAATATGTAAATAATAGGCAAATCTCGTAGTTGTAAAAAGTTTGGTAACAACGTAAGATGGTTTTCTTGAAGAGGAGAAGATTCTGGAAGAAATGTAGGGTATTACAAAGATGAGAAAAGAAGTCTTTGATGCATGGCCTCAAGCACTTGCAGGGAGGCATCATCTCCTCCCCTAGAAGAGCAAGTACTGAGGCAAGCACTGTGGTAGACAGAGGTTCTCCACGTGGGAA